GTGCCAATTTTCTATGAGAAGAATTGCCCTAAAGAGGTGTTTGTTTGTGGAGGGGAGGGCTACACTTTGACTTTGAAGTGAGTTACATTGGTAACTATTTCCTCACAGCTAATGCCATAGACTTTGTTAGCTCTTAGATAGAGTATCCTGGAGGAAAACAACTCAATGGCGACCCCTGTGGCCAGGTGCTGACTTTGTTAGAGAGAGAGAGAGAGAGAGAGAGAAAGAGAGAGAGAGAGAGAGAGAGAGAGAGAGAGAGAGAGAGAACACACTATATACACATTGCTCCATTGCTCTCAGAAGGCAAACGGCCATGTAAGGAAAGCAGCTCAGTGTTCACTGCAAGGAGCTAAAGACCATCCACCTCGTCCTCATAATGTCTGAGACTCACTGCTGACCATAGACAGCCTAGCTGGTGCCAGAATTGTGTCAGAAGATCTGGCTCAGAGCTGGCCAGTCCCTTAAGGTCTACTTAACTCATATTTTAGATTCAGCCCACCCCCACCCACCCACCCCACCCTCACACACAAAGAGATTGGTGGAAGCTAGGCTTTGAAAAGCTGAACACAAGAGTAGAACCTGGGTCTTTACTAGCCAGAGAGTCTCTCCAAAGATGTTGGTGGTATGCTTCGATAAGAAAGACAACACAAAGCTTAAAGTAAGATCTATGAAGGCAAGCTTGAAAAATTAAAGTACTCAGTTCTTGTAGTAGGTAACCTGGCCAGCCAGCCTGCATGCCTGCCTGCCTGCCTGTCTTACTACCTCCCTCTTTCTCTCCCTTCCTTCCTTTCTTCTTGCCTGCTTGCCTGCCTGCCTATTGACCTGCCTGCCTGCCTATTGGCCTGCCTGCCTGACTGCCTGCATGTGTACTGGAACTGCTCACTAGTTTGAGGCAGGTTCTACCACAGAATGTGAATGTGGGCAACTTTATGATGTGCTGGCCTCTCCAGAGCTTCTGTCAGCCTATTAGCCCTTCCCAATCTCATCTCACCTGTCTGGAGAAGGCAAAGCTTATGTCCTTGTCTCCAACTGTTGGCCATAGGAGAAAACCAGGACATAGGTCAGTGAAGGGATTTGCCCAAGCCTGTGCCGCAGGTTGGAGATTTATATCCAACCACATAGCAGCTGATTTTTTTGCCTCATCACAACTGCTCTGACTGGAGAGACAGCCTGAAGACTGTTTAAGTAGTGCCTGGGATTCTCTAGCAACAGATAGGTGCCTGGCTGAAGCCAAGGGTGTGTTACATGAGAGCTTGTTGACTGATTCACTTTGGTCAATCTTAGTAGGTTTAGCCCCTAACTGAGACTGGCTGACAAGAATTTCCTGTTGCTACTTCTTTCTGGATGCTCCCCTGTGACAGGTACTTCCTCTTGTGGTGTCTGAATAGGGTTATGGTACTGAGGGAGACAAATTGGCATCAGGAGGAACATCTGAAGAAGGCAGGCAGTATAGAAGATGAGGCTAAGGCTACTCATGAAGCTGTTTCCTATACTGTGGGTCATCTTTTGTGGCATCCAGTCCTTACTGGGGTTTTGTGGAAGTTTCCAGGCTTGGGCACTCCATGTTGTTACTTTCTGCATCCATAGGGAAGCACAGATGCCTCCTGTCTCTTTAATACGGTTGTCTCTTTCCTGATCCTACAAGCCACACATCTGCACCTTTCTTGGCTTCTGTGCATTTACTGCTTTGGGGAGTTTGCATTGTTTTTCTCCATTAGGGCAAGTTCATTGTCTTTTCCTGTGCCATTGTGTTTTCAGTGCTACTGAGCACACAGTAGGCTGTTCATAAGTACTCATTAAATTGATAAAGATTTCATTAAAGGGGCATTTCCTTTCTTTTCCTAATACCTCAGGCAGATTCCTCTTCACACTGAAGCAAAATGGTAAGTTATTTTCACAGGCCCTAAGGCTTATGCAAATGGAGCCAGTATGGAGTGAACTATGGATGAGCAAGGTCTGGAAGCTACAAGGCTCTCTGTGGACAGGAGAAGGGCAGACCTGGGGGCAGAAGATAGGCAGCTCCTCTTTTGGGATCTCTTTCTACCCAGCCATCCTTATCTGAGAGCGTGTGGCAGAATTTTCCTTCCTATCAACTCCAGTTTTGGAAGCCTTTTTTTATTTGGTGTTCTTCATTATGCCATGTGTCCCAAACAAGACTTCCTTTTAATGGGTCTCATCTCACAAGTGGACCTTCCCAGGAAAATTCTCCAGGATTTTACCATCCTGGGAGGGAATGGGCTCCTTTGTTGCAACAGTTCGTTGGAGGAATTGCATCTGAAGCCACATGAGACCAGAAACACCCATCCTACGAAGAGTGTTAGTTCCACTGGCCTGCCTTGGGTCTATCATGGCCATATCCTTTTTTAGAGGAGGAGATCAGCAAGAAATATATAAGATTTAAAAGTGGATTCTTGGATCCAGACATATGGTTGGTCATAGTTCACAGCAGTTTTAGTTAGAATTCTTTTAGATTTTTTTCCTTCTGTTCTCCCAGAAGTAAAATGTGTGTGTGTGTGTGTAAAATTTAATCCTGTCTCAGATGGGCTAGAGGGATCAGGATGTGACCAGCAATGGTCACATGATTCTATCAGCAGCGATCTGAATGGGAATGGTATTCCCCTGAGGGCCTGCAGATAGCTGAATGAGGGATGTACAATGAGCGCTGACACTGAAGACTCAGAGATAAGTCATAACGCCAGCTAGTTCCCTTCCTCCATAAGACACAGGCATCTGTTCATGTGGTGGGAACTTCTGTAGTACGATCAAATATGGAGCTTGTGTCACTGGCCTTCTAGAAGAGTCCATTCCACCTCTCTCTTTCCCTTCCCATGTAGTACATGATAGCTGTAGACATCTAGGTGGAAAGGACGCCTTCAGCTTCAAACTACGGTCTATAGAGAGACTAAGAGGCTGTGAAGACCTCTAGCAGAAGATCTTCTTAATAAGCTCAGAGGCTCTAGACAACAGCACACTTTCAATTACTTGTTTTATGGGCATCTTTCCCACAGATGGCATGCTGGGGAGAGAGGGAGAAGGGGATGGACTGCATCTTTATTATTCCTCACCAGGATTCTGGCACCCAGCCTGGCACACAGTTGGTGCTCAATAAATGCTACTTGAATGGATGGAGGATGTGTAAATGGATGGATGCAAAAATAAATTATTTCTTTTTTGGATAAAATTTTAAAATATTTCATAGAGATCTTATGTGATGAAAACTGTTTCTTGGCTTCCTCTGATCTGGTGGAAGAGGAAGCAGTGGGAGGTCTGATTCATGATCCATTACTTCTACGGAAGCTTCTCTGATCCACTCTCATCAAGCTATGCTAAGGGAACAGACACTTTGGCTTGAGTATCTATTTCTGACAACTAAGAACCTTAAAACATAATGGTAAAAATCTGAAAATGTAGAGCGTAGTGTATATATTTACATATATATATATATACTATTATCTATCTCTATCTATCTATCTATCTATCTATCTATCCATCCATCCATCTAGCCATCCTTTTTTCCTACACTGTTTTCTAAGGTTGTCTCTGATCACTTGCCAATGGCCCAAGGTTTCTCTGTGTTTTTTATTCTGAGCAAATGTCCAAGGCCTGGTGACCCATTGACCAGATGAAAGACCCTACATAACTTGCCTGGGAGTGTACACGTGGCTCAGAGCTATTTGTTTTGTTACAGAAGAGAGTCCTGTGTCATTGGTCAAGATCTTTGTGTTTGTATCACCACTGGCTAACAAGCAGAAAATAACTTCTACTCTTCAGATGCCAGTTGCCCCAATAACAGAGTGAGGAACGGGATTGTCCTGGTCTCTCTTGGTAGCTCACATTATAAGATTGTCAGGACAACAAGCTTGCTTCACATGATCTAAGCAGGACATGCCCCAAGCTTAAAGCTGAGTTGCTAAGAGGCCAGGAAAGAATGAACTACAAAGGTCTTTGTCTCAGAAAAACCCAAGGCATAGTCTTCTTAAAGATGAGGAGGTATACTTTAAGGACACTGGTCCTTTAGAAGTTTCTGTATGATCTCTCAGAAGCACTGGAGGACCCAGACATCTTTTGGCCTGTGATAAGAATTCTCCTCAAGACTGCATGTGTGGAGCAGGGTGCTAAGATGTAGGCAAGGGTAAGGCACCTGCTGTGCCCATCTATTCAGGGAGAAATGAAGTCTCTCCTGCTTCAAGGGCTCCTTGGACTTCTAGGAGCTCATTGAGTTGCTTGTCCAAGGATGTTAAAATTTGTAAGAGTTGTGATTCTGATGAGAAGCTTAAGAGGCTTGGGGATGTTCCTAGCTTGATTCTAATGTGAATGTTGTCTCTAAAGTCTGATGATGTGGGAAGCTCCAGCCTGTCTATCCCACCCCATTTCAGGACAGCAGGCATCCCTGAATAGTCTCCAGGCCCTACTCTCTGGCTGGTTAATGCTGAGGCTGTTAAAGATCCAGCTTTAGCCCCTTTCTCCTGAGTTCCTTCTTTAGACCCTACTCTGTAGTATGGGTCCTCCTTGTTCAAAGGGAACTGTTTTCTTTGAAATAGAATTTCTTCTTTTTTCTCTTTCTTTCTTTCTTTCTTTCTTTCTTTCTTTCTTTCTTTCTTTCT